ACAGCTATGAATTGGCTTCTTCTGGCCAGTGAATCCCTACTTTTTTTGTCTTTTTCGTTTTTTCCCGGACACATATCACACCAGATACTCCGTCATGCACCATATACAGGCTGTTGGCAACCACGCAGGAGAATGAAAGAAAAGTAAGGAGAAGTCTGAGAAGGAGAAGAAAGACGTGTGTGACCATAACCGTCGGGAATCCAACCCGCCACCTGTCAATTGGAAGTCGCTGCACATACCACTGTACCATATGGGACACACACACGCACACACACACGCACGCACACAGAGACATACCATCACACACCACACACACGCACACACACATACACAGGTACACAGACACACATACACACGCACACACACACACACGCACACACACACACACCACACACACGCACACACACACACGCACACACACCATCACACACCACACACACAGATACACGCACACACGCACACACACACGCACACACACACACACACGCACGCACACACACACGCACACACACACGTTGATCGGATGAGATAAAATACAATCATGTCTTTCTCAATGATAGAAATGCAACTAAAAGCCAAAACAGTTTTAAAAATGTAAAGAACTCGAAGCCAATGCAAAAAAAAACAAAGTAAAGAAAAGAACTCAAAGGAAAATGAAAGAACCCAAAGCAAATGAAAAGAACCCAAAAATAAAGAAATGAACCCAACCAGCCGTACACGGAGCACACAAGAGGCAACAGCATAAATATGTAAACTTCCTCAAAAACGTGTGAATGAAATCCATAAATCTAGACCCGAACCTGAGCCTCCGACACAGCTAGTGCAGCAGACGAAGAACCAGCCTCCAGAACCACGGGACGTCCGAACAGCTTCCTGCAACCTCGGAGACACATAATACAAGACATAGGTAACGAGAAAGACAACTACCGGCAATTACTTACATTGAACATAGGCTATGACGTGACAATACTGCTCGGACTTCTTTGCTGCCAGAAGAGCTGCCACCCTTGAGTACATGAGATTAAATACACCGGTGGCTTTGTCCTTGACACACACACAGGTCCTCGAAAGGCAGGGGTCTGTGGAGATGCGCTCCCAGCACTGACCAACGAATATGTTTCACATCCGATTTTCTCGGAGCCAGGAAATTATTGTTTTAAGTATATTCACATTGGGATACTGAGTGTACCGCTATACACGTGGTCGACACTTTGTTGACACTTTGTTGACACTTTGTTGACACTTTGTTGACACGTGACCCCATTAACGCCATACTTGCTGAAGCTGTGGACTGGTTTGGAACAACATGCTGACCCCGTGACCCCAATCTACGTGGAGGAGTTCCGCAATTTGCTACTTCGTAATGACTGCGTGTCCGGCATCGGCCCCGCAATCTGCTCCAGAGAGGCCAATAGGGCCCCGTGATTTGCTCCAGCCCCGCCATCGCCAATCTACTGCGCATAAGTTGACCCAGGAATGAACTTACTGGAAGGAATGTTTGCAAGGTGGAAGACGAATAAGAAGAATGGTTGGAATCGGTCGACAGTGGCTGGGATGTAAGTTCAACATTGCTGGTGCTAGAGTTGCCACTATCTGTTTACAAGGCAGTCATGTACATGTATGTTGCCGTTTTGCCTTTTCCCATGTTCTCCATCGACTGTACTCCCATGACTAAACTTACGGGAAGGAGTATTGAATTTTAGAAGATGGAAGAAGAAGAAGAAGAAGAAGAAGAAGAAGAAGAAGAAGCGTGGAAATCCCACGGCAATGCCTGGAATGTAAGCCCAACATTTCTGTAACTAGAGTTGCCACTACTTGTTTATAAGGACTTCATGTGTGTTGCCTTTTTGCCTTTTACCATGTTCTCCTCCGACTGTACTGGTCTGGTGAACGCTCTCACGTGTGTTGCCCTTTTCAGGCAGTAGAAGGGGTAGGGGAGTGTGCAGCACATGCTGCCATCCAGGAATGCTGGGAGGAACTTAGCAAATGTCTGACCCGTCCTCTTACTCCAAGAAAAATCAGATTTACCATACTGCAGTACCCGGAAGGGCACGTTTGCCCGGGCTTTGGGGCAATGTAATGTGACCCGGATATGCAACATAGGGTAATACCACCACTGGTACAAGGTATCACAGTGTAATGGTACCGTAACTTTGTTACTACACGAAGCTACTTACGTGGGATATCCAACATTGGAGTTCATCGACGGCCATGTAATAAGTAATGGCCTAAGCCTATGGACCAGAGTCCCCAGCTGCATCCAGAGGTAGGAACCTCGTGCTACTGGTGCGTTTGGGTCCCGTCATTCGCGATTTATGTGGATAAGTTCACATTTGGGGGACAATGCGCCAGTTGTAATTTCTTACTTTCACGACGGGGCAGCACCAGTAAAGGTTTTTCAGAACCGCTCACAGAGAGGTTTTTATATGCATAATGTACATGTATACTCACTGTGGAAACGCTCAACACGTTGCCGTTCAAGAACCTCAAGTGTGTTCTCCTTGTACGTGTAAGTGTAATGACTTTAGTGTCTCCAAGGAACTTTTGAAAACAACAATGTAATCTTAAGAAAAACATCGCCATTGGTCAGAACGATAGATGACTGAAAACGCATGTTAAGAATGATTCTAGTCCGAAATAGCATACATGTACTTGCACACATCTACAAGCACTAGGTTCGAGTAAACGCATCGAGTTTGTAGCAACTGAATAGATCGGTTGTGTGCTGACGATAGCCATTGACGAGTACTGAGCGAAAATGGGCAGATTCTGCTGGAAAAGCATTAAAATCGCCATCATCATCCTCCATCTCCATCTCCTCATGCCATTGCTTCTTTCTCCTTGACGAGTTGACTGCTACGCCCGTACTTTCACCTGCCGCTACTGGTTCCGCCTTCTCGACTTTTCTCAGTCGTGTCTCCGCTAGTCTCTGGCTTCTCCTCAGATTCTTTTTTCCTCCATTTTCGTTTCGTTCTCCTGGTAATCTTTCCGTTACCGCCGTCGGGTTTGTTAACGAACCATCGTCCGGCGGTCTCCCATGCCATGGTGTTGTCGTCAAGAGTGACACCAGATTCATGTGTTGCGCTCCTGTTGATTCCGGTTTTGTATCCGTTCCTGGTTCTCTTGTGATACTGACAGGCGTAGTAGTAGGCAACGGGTGTTTTCGTGGCCTCCCACGCTTTGGCCTGGCTGCCCTGGCCGCTTTTGACAACTAGGACAATGGGACGTGTTGTTTGATACGTTCGGACAAGTGTTGAAGCGTCCTGCCAACATACCGACTACCGCACTGTCGGCATTCAAAATGATAAATGAGGTGACTCAAATGATGGGTCGGCAGGACGTCCTTCAACACCGTGAACGAACGTATCGTGGTGAAGACAGTTACTACATTCAATGCATAGTACGTCTTCTGGACAATAGACTTGACAATACGACTGACCTATGTCGACTCCGCGCCTTTCCAAGACAGGCACAGGAAGACACGACAAGGAGCTAGGCCGATTGTCAGTTCCTTATGGGGCGCATTGTTCGTGAGCAGTTTCACTAACAGTGATGATGGATATCCGTTCTTAAGAAAGACAGAGCGAAGAAAATCAAGTTCCGCCTGCGATTTACTCTCAGAGCAAATGCGTCTTGCCCTGTCAGCCAAGTTTCGGACTAGATTGGTCTTGTACTGCGAAGAGCAATATGAATCGTACATAATATACTGACCAGTGAATGTAGGCTTACGATACACCGATGTCACAACACCCTCACATGTCTTTTCCACGAGTACATCTAAAAACGACAATTTACGATACACCGATGTCACAACACCCTCACATGTCTTTTCCACGAGTACTAAAAACGACAATTTGTTGCAATCCTCATGTTCGCATGTGAAGCGTAATGCAGGGTGGACATCATTCAACTCATCTAGAAAGGCTTCACTGTCACATCTTGATTCGAAATGGGTAAATGAGTCGTCCACAAATCGAACGTACAACTGAGGCCACTTTATTTTATCCATTCTCGATTCGCAATATCCAACGAAGACATTTGCCAGTACCGGGCCCAATGGAGACCCCATCATTTTTTGTCATTGCTATATTCTGCTAATTGCCGACAATATCCGCCAAGTGCTAGTTGACAATCCTTCCTCTTTTTCTGATTAAATCTGAAAACGAGGAAAAATTGTTCCAGTGACGTCTACATGAAAAGAAGATCCTCACTGATGTAAGAACTCAAGCATTGTAACCTTGATGCTGCCAATCTTTTTATCCTGGACGGGGTTGTGAGTCACGTACTTTAGTGTGATGAGCAAACTTGTAGTAGTAGACTCATTTCCAAAAATCTACAACAGAGGCAGGGGATTTTTGTGTGAGTCCGCTCACTAGCCAATAGGCTCACGTCCTCAACATTCCTTTAGAGGCTTTTCCCCTCTCCATGACAGACCCATGTGACCAGATACTGGCAGGGAGCTAGTACCGTATTTGCGGTGTGTGTGTGTGTGCACATGAACGGGAAGCTCCCTCTGCTTCCGTCTTTAAAGGCCGATTCATACTTCATTTCGCGTGCGGGAAGGTCATCGTGCGACCTTTGCGTGATGGCTTTCCCATATGCGACGCGTTTCCCGTACGTGAAATGAAGTATGAATCGGCCTTTAGCCTCTAGCTCTGCCTTTGTATCGTTCTGTCTTCCTCTCTCTCTCTTGCCAAGAAACCAGACATGGCTTTGTTATGGATATCACAAATGCAAAGTACAAAAGATGCAAACAAGCATTAGTATCAGGTGCTCACTGAACAGACTCTTGAACATATGCTACTCCGACTATGGAAACCATGCATGATGCAACTCCAAAAGCCCCCCCCCCCACCCACTCCTTGTCCTCAAAGCATACAGTCATAAAAATCCCCACACCTAATCAACAATTCCGTTGATCCCCGAGCTGCAGAAAGTGCTCAATGTCAGAAACAGAGTTTAGAACATAACAGACTCAGTGGAGGACGCACAATCAAAAATAGTTTTCAGTTCATAATTCACATTCCTGCCGTGGAGGCATCAAGGAAAGAATGGGTAAGTTTGGACGTGACTATAGAAGTAAGAGTAATATTCACTTAACCAATCTGGGTATATGTTACAGGGGATGAGGCAGCGTACAACTAGACAATTACTTGACAACCAGAGAGATGTGAAAACAAAGATTATCAGCTTTCTGAGGATAGAAAGAATGTGAAAAGCAGTACAGTTTGCATACTGTAGTTATCATCAGTGATGGACTGTAGTTAGTAACCTACTACACTCACACACTCATATCCAGTGTGTACAGAGAACCAGGATTGTCAAGTCCACTTACACTGAGTACCAGGGTACTGCAAAACAGTGTGAGTGATGGTGTGAAACTACTGTACTCTGGCGTAGCTGGTACTGGATAGACCAGACCAGATGAAATATCATATACAACACACTCAGCAGGAGAAATGCTTGGGCAAATAACCATGCAATGGTCAGACAGTGCGCATGCTGCACTAAACTCCAGCTCAACACCATCAGGTGGACTGGCGGAAACCCACCTACCATCATGGTGTTTGAGAAAACAACCAGTAACACCACCAACTAAGTACAGTGAATCAGGGAATGGGACAAGTGATGCACTGCTGCATGGTAGTGGCAATGAAGGTAATACTAGGCTAGTATTGGATGATGAAGAAGAGCTCCTCTGCTGGCTAGCTAGAGAATAGGTACTAACATGATTGTGATCTGTGTCACCATCGTAGCCACCATATAGAGAAATAGCATCATGACATACATGTAGAGTACACCAGTCATGGTTACAGTGCGAGACGTCCGTAACTGTGGTCCATTGACCACCGCCGCCGCCATCACCGATATCTGGTGTGTCACGGTACTGCAGAAGAGACCGCACCCCTGTCTTGGTGCTCTTGGTGTATGTGTTACAGTACATGTAGAGCATACCACCATGAGATGCCAGTGATGGGTCAGCCAGTTTACTGTATTCACTTGGTAGGTCAATACTGTGCCATGTCTGCAAGTCTGATGTCTGCATGATCTTGGTGATGGTCACACCATCATACCACACAGCAACCAGCTTTTCACTGTACGTGGCAAGCATGGCATGTTTGCTATGCTGCTGTACTTCTGACTTGTTCCACTGCGTATTCAAAGAAGACCACACACCGGATAACACACAGGCACAAAAACAGACACACACACATACGCTCACTCACTCACACACACACACACGCACACACACATACAAACACACACATACACACACGTGCGCACACACACACAACAACAACAACAACAACAACAACAACAACAACAACAACAACAGCAGCAGCAGCAGCAGCAGCAGCAGCAACAACAACAACAACAACAACAACAACAACAACAACAGCAGCAGCAGCAGCAGCATAAGCAGCAGCAGCAGCAGCAACAACAACAACAACAACAACAACAACAACAACAACAACAACAACAACAACAACAACAACAACAACAACAACAACAACAACAGCAGCAGCAGCAGCAGCAGCAGCAGCAGCAGCAGCAGCAGCAGCAGCAGCAGCAGCAGCAGCAGCAGCAACAACAACAACAACAACAACAACAACAACAACAACAACAACAACAACAACAACAACAACAACAACAACAACAACAACAACAACAACAACAACAACAACAACAACAACAACAACAACAACAACAACAACAACAACAACAACAACAGCAACAACAACAACAACAACAACAACAACCACAACAACAACCACAACAACAAACATATGCACACACCAACACGCACACACAAAGAACACACGCACATGCAAACACACACACACACACACAAAGAACACACAGACACAGACACACACACACACACACACAAACATGTACACACATAAACCCCACATAATAAGATACATAAACAGAAATGACTACAAATCTACCCTAATGTACATAAACGGTCTTCATTGCAGACAGTAGGCAGGAAGGCACAGTGGGTTGGTCCAGGATCATGAAATGAGAGTTACCAGGTTCAAGTCCTGCTTGGAAGCGGAAGGATTTTTCCAGCTGTACTGCGACCCGCAGTGAACTGGGTCACCAGTACCCTTTGACAGATAGTGGTGGCCGAATATTTTACAGAGGTTGGTGCTTTTTCTGGTACGTTTCATTCATGTTTGGTATCTAGATAAAGAAATAGAGCCAACTTCAAGGAAGTGCATATCATGAGGTTTGTATGGCTCTGCCAAATTCACTGCGCTGAAGGGGAAATAAATGCAAAAATCAAACTTTCACCAGTTGTAGTCTTCGGGTGCTGTGTCGAATGGTCTTGGTCCGAGGAAGCTGAGACGCTCCCTTCCTACTTGAATCCCAATCGAACTCGCGCACTTCCACCGAAACTGGGTGACTGCGCCCTACTAGATGGGGATTTGTAAGCAAAATGTCACTAAAAGCGCCATTTCGTTCTTATAAAAGCACGGATGACCACGATTGGCCCATATGTTGTAGTCTTTTGGACGCTGAGTCGACTAGTTTTGGTCCGAAAAGGCTGCGATCCAGCGTTCGGCCCTTATTCCCAATCGAACCTGGTTAAACAAGCGGTCACGTGCTCCTGGGTGCCCAAATCACCTGGTCACCACGCCAGCAGGCGACAACTTTCACACCAAGGTTCAACTCGAGTTCAACTCGAGTGACAGGACTGTTCCCAAAAAAGGTCAAACAGGCTAGTAAGTTGTACCCTGCAGGCACGGTGACCAGGTGACCGGTGTACGCAGGAGCTCGTGACAGCTTGTTCAACCATGTTTGACTGGGAATAAAGGAGGAACGCTGCATCGCAGCCTTTTCGGACCAAAACCAGTTGACTCAGCGTCCGAAAGACTACAACATATGGGCCAATCGCGATCATCCGTGCTTTTATAAGAACGACATGGCGCTTTTAGTGACATTTTGCATACAAATCCCCATTTAGTAGGGCGCAGTCACCCAGTTTCGGTGGAAGTGCGCGAGTTCGATTGGGATTAAACTAGGAAGGGAGCATCTCAGCTTCCTCGGACCACGACCATTCGACTTAGCACCCAGAAGACTACAACTGGTGAAATTTTGATTTTAGCCTTAACTTCCCCTTTAAGAGCAGAATCTGGCAGTTTTTCAGCATTATCTCCAAGGGTCAGTCACAAGTGACTGATGTTCTTATTTTTAACCAGGTCAAAGTACCCCTGCCCCCCCCCCCCCACCGGGTCACTGACTTGGCTAACCTGGTCCTGGAGCACACACTGTTTCAATTTTTTCTAACCAGAACATAAATTCATGTTATTGACACAGGCAACCTCTGCTATACTGCTTCCGGCAGTACCCGGAAGTTTGTCGTACGCGATGCCATTGACAGTAATCGGTTATTTGTTAGCACAAGACGAAAAGGTCTAGTGAGAGCCTGTAGACCGATTTTTTGCACCACATACACGCCGCAAAATGACGGCATACTGATGTTAAACAGCGCATTTCGGCCGCAAATTTGAAATCAAAAACTGAATTCCACGGTTCGTGTGAGACTTGGCTAGAGGCCGAGTTTCCCGCATCCGTAGGAACTCCACAACCATCAAGGATCACGGTGCAGATGCATCCCCTGAAGTGTCGGGAGGAGAGCACATCACACCCACGATTATAATGGTCAAAGATGTAGAATCCCATTCGCTGCATCCAGTCTTCTCTCGGGCAAAGCCAGGAGTTCTCAATTAATCATTGGTCCCAGCACTCCTGGAAATATCCTTCTGCTTCCAAGCAGGAGTTGAACCTGGCACTCGTTCCCTCTGTTTCTCACCCATGGTCCTAGAACATTCCATTGTTAGCCCTAATTAGATACAAAATCCATCGCAAGTTCCATGATTTTTGGGGATATTTTTAGGATTATACCTATGGCTGAGTCGGGTAGCATTTTCTTCGGGTATCGGGTCCGGGTAGTTTTCCACGGGTAGCACAGGTACCCGATCGGGTAATGTTTCCATAGTAACACCACAATGCACTCCTTCCCTTATAGACTTTGCACACGACGGTTCGTGCTCACGATTGCACCGTAGTAAGGTTCTACGATGCGCGGCAAGACACTTCACACGACGACTAGCTCTGCTGACACAGTGCATACAACGAAGTACATGATTGCACAAGCCAGTTTGTGAATTGCTGACACAGCGAATACAAGCCAGTTCATGAAATGCGAAACCGAAATCGAAAACGCTCAGCCAGGGGGTCAGGGTGTTGGTTGCCACCATCTCGCAGGCTACGGGTCTACGACTAAGATTTCAAATAAATCCATAGTGATCCTGTCGCGGAGCCGAGAATCCGTGACATTCTCCCATCGTGTAAAAGGCCTATTACACATTGAGTGCATTCGATTATTCCCGCGAACGAAAAATTATATGAGTCGATTCATGAATCGCCCCTGGCAATTCACATCACCCCATGTGAATAGGGTGAATGGATTCCGAATCGATTCCAGGGCTCATGACATGAAATTGAACGGCGAGATTCCATTCAAGAATCGATTCGCGGGCATAATCAAACACACTCACTAGGTAGACATGAGAAGTATTGCCGTGATTACCAATAAAATTGTATACTTGCACTGTACATGATGTCATCTGCGACTTCGGGTTTTCAGGTACTATCCTGTACCCGTCTACCCGAGGTCTTCACGGGTAGCACCGGTACCCGACTACCCGTGCACACCACTAATTATACCCGGGAAAGGTATACATACTATCCAGACTTGTTTTAAAGTGCTTCGAAGTATCTGGTATTGAAACTTGTCTAAAATTGCTACCCCTAAGTCTGAAAACACAACGGACTCGTTCAATCTTACCTTTCTGCGTATCCTGATGTTTGCAATCTGTTTTGGTGTTGGCATGGCAGGTAAGACATGATATCCTCTATCAACGGATGAAACAGCTGTGCTTGCAGCTCTTGTGGCCTGTGCCTAAAAACAGCAGAGAGGCACAATCAAGAGAGAAGGAATCACATAGAAATGAGTTATGAAGCAACTATTCACGACTGTAAGAAGATGATAAGCAGCCAGAAAGTGCGATAATAGGGTACAAAACTGACAGGCCACTGAGACATTAGATTAACCACCTGAGACCTACTTGAAGTAGCTTTTACACATCTCAAGTATGCACACCAACAGCCTCGACATACGGAGCGAACGACGCCAAAGCGAACAAAAAGCGAAAAAAAGTTGAGTACTCCGAATTGTAGTTATACCGCATTATTCACTGGTCTCGTCATCGTCTTGTCATTGTCGGCATTCTTTGTTGCCATGGGTCTTAGCTTCAAGCCTGGTGTACATTTTCGCTGCGCTCACCTTCCCCTCATTGGTCCTACCATAACCTTGAACCTTCCAAGCTGGAAGGCTGTTTGTTTGCGCACTGGAGATGTGTTCTAGGTCTCAGGTCGTTGAATGTCTCAGTAGCTTGTCCGATTTGTGCCCTGTTATCGCACTTTCTGACTGCTTATTATCTTGTTACAATTGTGGATTGTTGCTTCGTAATTATTTTAATTATCTTTACTAGCTCAGTATCCAAGTTAGATACACAATCATTGGAATTCTATACTAAATATCTGTAAGCGTGATATACTAGTAGCGACTTCGGCGATAATTTAGAAGTTGAGATTGTGAATGCATTTTTGTGCTGCCTAGTGCGCTGAGTCTGCCCTGTTTGTCGCATGAATCTCGGACTTGCTCCACAATATGTGTCATGCAGGGTCACACACGCAACGGGAAGACTTCGTGGTAGTAAAATAGATATTTCGCAAACAACAAAAAGACAACTCTTTCTCTTCCTTTCGAAGAACCGAACTTGCCGAGCCTCATCGAAAGCAAACTCTGAAAAAGCCCTACACTAGTACCGGATTCAGCGCAGAGCAAAAAATAATTATGAGTCATTATACAATGCATGCAGTAGAGAGGTTGTGCATAACGAAAATTCGTAAAGATCTTTCGGAATCTGAGCCGCTGGAAGTGACGAAAATACATAACGAAAATCTGTTGTGCTCAACGAAAAACGTAGTGTGACCATGGTGACCCTTTCGAGTACTTTTTCCGCTGTTTACGCGCGTGGTGAACAATTATTTGGAATGAATCAAGCCTCGTCGATTTCTTTCCTGCTTTTATACCTCGATATTTAGGTACTTGTTTCCCTTCTTCCCATGCTTCATCTTCCACTCTCCTCTCCCCATTTCCCCATTTTTCTTGCGATATTTATGTGGGAGACTTCCGTGATAAGCATCCATTTGCTTTTGGAGAATCCTTTTAAATAAATACAATACAATACAATACAAGTGTGTACTCCGGCCCACGTGTAGGCACACGTGTAGGCTAGAAGAAGAAGTTTTTATCAATTGTAGTCCATCGCGAGATTGAAATGTCCTTCGCCGAGACGTCGCAGGGGAAAACGAAGACGCCAAAGTGGCGGAATTCTGCTGCGGGGATTCAGCAGCATAATTTGTCACACGGCGAGCACTGACAGGATTTCCAGATCTGACAGAACTAGCCGAGCGCTGTCCAGGTGACAGAGGATCGCTGAGAGAGCGGGAAAGAGATCCTTCTGCTCCACAGGATGGAGGGTAGGAAGAACTCGCAGAACGACTTGAAAAGGCCATGGCGAAAAAATCTTGACACCACGTGCATCAACACAGCTACATGTGTACAGAAGCTAGCGAGAAAGTAGCGAAAGTTCCAAAATTAAGATCTTCAAGTTTCGCGTTCCTCCTCGCGAAAGTTCCTTTCCTTTTTCGAGACTCGTGCCCAGACTACGTCTAAGTTACGAATTTTCGTTATGCACAACCTCTCTAGTGTAGCTGTGAAAACTGATGAATAAAGAATGCAGTAGGTTGGCAGCACGTGACCCGTCGTACCGCAGTACACGACGGCGTCGCGGCTTAGAAATGAAAGGAAACACTGCGAGAAAAGACAAAACGAAAATACATGTCCCTTTGTTAAAACTTAGAAGAAACAAACAAAATGCGACCAAGAGTCATTTTGAGAGTCAACGTCAATACTGTTGTGCAGTTGTGCAAATTCTTGTCTTGCACTGTGCAAAGCAAGAAACAAACAACCCACGAAATGACTCTTGAACTAACTGAAGGCTAAATCACTACATGTACGCGAAATTGCGTTCCAAAATAGACTGAATTTCTGAGACATTTCATATTTCACATCCTGAGAGAAATATTGAATAAATAGTAAATACTTCATAAAAAACACATGGCCACGACGGCCTTCCCAACAACATGCGTGTTCTGTGTGATTTCAAACATGTATACGCGCGATCCACGCAGTTCACCAATACAAGTGCTGCGCTTATATTGGGTACAGGGCTTATAGGTGTTCGAAGCACTCTAAAATGGCGCTTAAGGTGCGTCAACAAGAGACATGGCTTGTAAAAATAATTTAAAAACTGGATCCTACGTTGACCCATGGACTAACCTGTACTAGTGGGTGAATGCGGTCTGGGATAAATGGAGCAAACTTTAAACAAAATTGGAAGTAAGGCCATGGCCGGTGATGTTTGCATGTTACCGAAAATATCTCCTAATTTCAAGAGTCCAGAAACTAGAGAATGCAACTGTTATCTCTTTTCTGTGGACCAGATGCACGGCGTGCTGCCTTAATTACTTCATTCAGCTGCAGTCTACGTACTGCGGAAAATCAAACACTGCAGAGGACGCCTCTTGTGTAAATTTGCGAAACCAATGCCATGATATTGCCTTCACTCAAAGTAGAGTCCTCTCCAATTTTCTGTTTTCCCTCCTACCTTGTGCACTTTATCATGACATGGATCATATTCTTGTCAATAAATGCAAATAATGCATCTGCCTCATTTTCAAAATTGTGAATATCTCGGAAAAGCCCGCAAAATTCGGAAGCAACAACCGGTTGCGCGCGTTTGCGCTTGCTTGGTGCAGCACATTTTCCACTACTGTATCTACCAATTTTGCCAGAGAACCCAGCTTCATGAAAGAAATCCTGCCCGAGTTTTGGAGATTGATGTTCTGTTATGTGTATGGCTCCATAGCTTTATCACCACCATTATCCTCTTGCTCCCTTGACTCCGGTCCCGCATCAGACTGATCGAGAAGCCGGAGCAATTAGTATTATATATATCTTGAGCATATAACTATGTGTCACTGTGTTCGGTCACTTATAATTGCTCGCGCACAATGCTCCAGGCACTCTCCTCGCATTTATCCCCAAACTCCTGCCTAAAAAAATTCAAAATCAAATGAAATGCTTTATCGGCAGTGACACTGCGCCTACTGAACATGGCTTTGGCCAGACTAACGTAAACTCAAAGGACGTTCCTAGATTATTATACAGTCAACTTCGCTTATAACGACATTCGGCGGGGCATCAGAAAAGTGTCCTTATTCGCGAAGTGTCGTTATATCCGAAGTCTCATTATACGTGTCACAGTTGGATGGGACTTTGCTCTGGGCATGAAAATTATGTCGTTATTCGCGAATTGTCGTTATATCCGCAGTCGTTATTAGCGATGTTGACTGTAACTGCCTTGGCACGCCATATCGTTCTATGCTGCAGATGACATAGTAAATCACTTTCCAAACTTAGGACAAACAAATTTGTCTGTTTCGGCAGGGTTCGAGATTACGATATTGACCATAACGACACGTGAAATGTGCATATCAGCATGTCCATATGTACAAATCACCACTTTCATGGTCCCCAATCTCCTTGCTCCCAAATGACGATATAGCCTTGACTTCCACCTGCCGCAGCGCTGACCTCGTTTCTTCTGAGCTCACAACAGCCATCTCTAACCTAGCTCGCTGGCTAGCCTCCCGTGGTCTCATCCTCAACGCCACCAAGAGTCAGCTCCTTGTCTTTGCAGGATCCAATGTCCAGAGTCCCAACGTTGTGGTAAAGTGCGATGGCATACCCGTGCCAAGCGTCACCAGTGCTCGCTACCTTGGCATCACCTTGGATGTACACATGTCATGGCAGCCCCAGGTCGATGCGAGCATCACGAAAGCCAATAAGAAAATTGGAACTCTGTGGCGGACACGAAAGTCGCTAACCCTTGCTAGCCGTGTGCTGTTCTTCAAGGCAGCTATCATGCCGGATCTACTGTATGGGTCCGTTGCGTTTAGCCCAGGTCTCACTCAGGCCCAGACCGACCGGCTCCAAGTAGCACAAAACCGTGGGGCAAGAGCAGTTTATGGCCGGTCGGGGTTCTCTCGTGCCAGTGATCTCCTGGAACGCATGCAGGTGTTCAGGATTGGAGAAATACATCGGCAGAAGGTCCTGGTCTTTGTCTGGAGGTGCATACACGCCAGTGCGAGTCCATCCCTCCAGGAGCTCTTCGTACGCTGCGCGGATCGTAGGACGCGCCTGGATCTCGCCCTGGGGCTCCGTCTACCAGCTACACGAACCCGCGCCGGACGATCTCGCCCTGCCTCCCGAGGTAGTGCCCTTTGGAACGTCCTACCGGATGCAGTCAGAGTACTGTCGTCTCTCAGCAGCTTCAAAGCTGCAGTCGTACCGTATACCTTCCGATCTTCCTGATGTTATGATTATAAACTTGCCCTGAGACAGCTTCCTGTCTGTGATTGATTTTCACTGTTTACCATTATTATTTGCCATGGCGACCCCCGTAAGTCCGTAACTGGCAGGGCAGGGTTGGACCTTTCATCCTCCCGATGTTAGTAGCAAGTACCGGTACTCTCGTTAGCAGTAACTGTTAGTACTTTGTTTGTTTCTTATTTTTATTTTTATTTTATTCTATTTTCTCTATTTTATTCTCTTTACCAGGCGTGGGCCATCCCCTGGACAAACAAAATGGGTGCCTTATTATTATTTTTCTGTTTCTGTTTTAATGACAGTCCACTGCACGCCTGAAAAAAGTACTTAGTTTATTAGGCGGGTTACAGAACTATCGACTTATCGTTCGCTGGCTTACT